ACAAGCCTAGTGATAGTAGCATTTAGAAGAACAAGGATGTCTAGACCTAGGGTTTGGGAAAACCCGGCATTTTTAGACCCGACGAGTCCAAGCCTAGTCTACGAATATTTATCGGGTCCCGATTCAAGTCGGGGTCTAATATGCTTTTAATACTCCATATCAATTAGCTATTTACAAATCAACACAGGACTCGAGTTAACGCAAAAAAATCTAATCGCGAAAAAAAAAAATTTCACCAAACCCCCTCCCCCCCCCTCATTAAACCTTGCGCTTCTTTGCAGGGATGGGGGGGGGGGGAAGAAGTTGTGTTAGTATAAAATGGTAACTTTTGTACATAATTGTTCTACTTTTAATATATTATCTCTCATATTTAAATATAGTTTTATAATTTTCTTGTTCGGCAGAGTTTAAAATAGCGTAAGTTACTGTTATTATTTACAACTTAAGTTATAACTTAAAGTTTAAGTTGCAGTTGTAGCAACAAGTTTTTAATACTATTAAGATATTTCTTATAAGTATATTTTTTTCCTTAAAATGCTACTTAGAAAAGTAAAAGTAAAAAAGTAAGAGAAACATTGCAATATCTAAACCACTTTAGTTAGTCAAAGAAAAATACATTCGTGCTGACGTTAAAACACGTGGTAATTTTAAAAAGTATTTAATTGTTAAAAGCTATAAAACAACATTAAAACAAACTGCAAAGTTGTTTTAAAAATATAAAGAGCTTGGGTTAATGTAAAACAAATTTGTGACGCTGTTTTGTGTTGATTTATATAATTTGTAAAATAAAACGCGCTTAAAATAAAAGGAAGCAAATAAATAAAATTGATCTAGTCAGTAAACTAAAACAAAACTTCATATTAGCGCCTATAGACCTATACGAGTTTATAATATATGGGCCAAAAGAGTAAGATAAAAGCATTAAAACATTAGATACCACGTCTTTTATAAATTATCGTTTCCTGATCAAGCATACGATTAAAAATTTAAGTATAATTAAGTTTTTCATTCAAATGGTTTTTAAACTGATGTTATCATTTATTTATTTTTTTATTCTAATTGTTTTCCAAAAAAAAGTGAAACAAAAAATTTTATTTAATAAATCGAATTATATTAAGTATAAGAATATGCTTAAATTATTTTTTTAGAAAAAATTTTTTTCCGAACAGAAGTAAAATAATTTATTAAATTTAATTTAAATTTTTTATAATTTTTATTTTAACTTGCAATTTGCAATCACTGCTTTGATGTTTGCAATAGAATTATTCTACTTTTAAAACTATTTTCAAGAAAAAATATATAATTCAAAATGTTAAACAAATTTACGATTTAAGAAAAAAAAACTTTCTTTTTTTTTCCCTTGTTCAAGCTACATCAAACTTTTTTTAAATTTTTAAATTTTTTTTAATTTCAAATTTCAATCACAAAATTATTTGAAAAAGTGAATTTTAAAGCTAAAGTTCTCTTGTTAAATTGATTTCTTTTTAAATAAAATTCCTGAAAACAATTGCGTATTTATAGAAAATGTTTAGTCTAGATGTCGCTATAAATAAAATGAAAATATAAAAAAATGGTGTCGCGTTTTTCATATTCTATTCAACAATTTTTATTAAAATAATTATCAGTTAAAAGCTTATATTATGTGTTAACAACATGTAAGATCTAAATTGAAACATGTCTATGGCTAACTTTTGCAAGTATATTAAATAAATTAATATAATTGTTAAATTAATACTTGAGTAACTGTAAGTTACTATCTTAACTTAACTGGTTGTTTTGATTTAGGTTATAAGTTAATTTACTGTGATATACTCTATCCATTCAGTAAAGTTAACTAAATATAACTTCAATAGTTTCAAGGTCGTTAAAGCGAAAAGCGTGAAAGTAAAAAAGTTGCTTTTAGCACAATTTTACTTATAGAAATTTTGAAAAAAGTTTGGTTTTAGCACAATTTTACTAATAGAAATTTTATTTAATAAAAACGAATTTATATATATTTTATTATACTTAAAGTAGTAAAAATAATTATATAAATTGTTTATAAAATAATAATTTAAATTATTGTTATAAAGTTAATTAGTTAATATATATAAAGTATATTAGTTATTATATATAGTATAGTTATTATATAAAGTATATTAGTTATTATATTAAATATATAAAGTTAATTAGTTAATATAGTTATAAAGCAACGTTTCTTTTAAAAAAAGATAAAAATATTGTTTTGTTAAAAAAATAGAATGAAGAAAAAATTCTTTTTAACTTTTGTCTTTTTAATTTGCTTCTAAGCAGAAATTTAAATTAGTTTAAATTAAAAAGTACTTTACATTGAACAAAAATCTCCACGCGAAAGAGCAAATGATCATGCTTCTATTCAAAAGACAAACTTTGCGTGACGTACTTTACTATGAAAACATTACTTTTAAGAATTGCCAAAAAAAAAGCTAAATTAGAAAAATAGTAAATAAACAACTAAAAAAGTAAACCAATCGCGAAAATA